AAAACATTGACTTTGATTTTTATCCTATGGTATTAGCTCAGCAGTGCGGTTAGCTGAGCAATACTATTATTTATCATTTACACTGTACTTTTATGTCATTTGTGTTAACTTAGGAGCAGCATTATCTAAGGTGAGTTAGCTATCTCAGGCCTGTTTTTGTAGCCATGTATGTTGTAGTGCCTAGTAGTCAAACACTTTGAGTGTACGTTTGCAAAAGAAACTTTTTTTATAGCACCTACCTTGTGCCAGTCACTGTGCAAACCTGGCTTAGGAATGATAATCAGTCTTCCTTAAGGTACTCTTGCCATAAAAAGGCACCATAAAGTAAAATTATATTTAAACCTTTCATATTGTTCTTTAAAACAGTAATTCATTCTACTACCTGTATAATAGGACTTCAACTGTGCATTTTGAGTGAGCTTGTGCCCTAAATTAACTTGAGACTAAATGAAGATGATGATAATCCTGATGCAAAGTGGGAATAAGTTACAGTGACCCAGATATGAGTATTTGATGAACATCACATACTCTAATTTCCTTTTCACTTAGACCTTCTCATCAAGAAAGGCACAGGTCTATATGGCATCCAACTTTGTAGTTCCTGCAAGATGGTGAACCTAAGCAGTCTACATGTATATGGAGCTGGAAATTGTCCTCAAAGCAGGACTCACTGGCACTCAGTCACTTTGCTGGTATAAATTGGTTGATTCTTTTCTTTGTTTTGTACTGTTTTAGTGTCCTGTTTCATGCTTGCATGGGTCTTATTAGTTAGAAAGTGATTATTCTTCTATTTTATATAACTCTTAGAGAAATAAGTAACTGAGAGTTGGCTCTGTCTTTGCTCATTGCCTTCAAGTTTAAAATTAAACTAATCCAGTTACACTTGTTTTCTTCCCATTTCTATAATACAAATCTATTTCAACTGGCAGTTAATTTTTTTTATAATCTCCTCATAAAGCTCTAATAAAAAATTCATTCAAGCTACTGTCTAAAGATATAAAGCTACTGTATAAAGATATAAAATGTTCCTGTTCATCAAGTCACTGGTAATTGTAGCAGATCTAGGTTGACACAGAGACATCAAACTGGTTTATGTGAAGAAAAGGAATAGATTTTTATTTTAACTCTTGACTCCAATAGTTGTTGTGAGATTCTAACGGTGATTTTCTTTTTAAAAAATAGTAATAATGACTTAATACTTCAGGTCCTGCTAAAGTTATCTGACATTGCTCTGTTGAACTTAGGACACTTTTCTTCACTTGCTGTTTGTAAACATGCGCATCTGTTTAAACACTTTTTAAAGTGGTATGTATGCTCCAAACAAATGTCCCTTTCTTTAGGGAAAGTTTTTTTTTTTTAAATTACATCCCGAGAACCTAGCTGAGGGACTGACACACAGTAAGTACCTAATAAGTTCTTGTGGGATTGAATTTGTCTCACAGCAAATTTTATCAGAAATAATAAAACTGAAGAACTCAAACAAACTGTGATATTTTTTTTTGGGTGGCTTCTTCCAGTAGTCTTCCAATAGTATTAGGCCAGTTTATACATTTATGACCTATTAAGCATTTTCTACATACTCTCATAGGACACTCAACAAACAGGCAAAATTACTTCTATATGGGTCACATACATTAAATTTAGTCACTGAATAAAACTTACAACTTACTGCAAAGCAACAGAGAGAAATTAAGTCAGGGTTAAGAGGGAGCATAAATTGTTAGCTTCTCTTTTTTATATATATTCACATCTCTCACCACTCCCTTCAGCTAAAAGAAAAATGTATTTTATCTTGCCTTAATCACTTTCTTGGGTGCCTTTTATAAAGAAGCATTACAGTGGAGATAAAGATAAAAGAAAAAACACAAACATAAGGTCAGTCCTAATTTAGTGCACTTCCTAGAAGCATGAAAGTGAGATTGCAAATGTTTATTAAAATAAAGTTGATTGAGTTGTATAGCTTGTGGTGGTTGGACAGCTCATTAAAAGGTCTACTGGGAAAAGTCTGTTTAGGTTGGAAACAACAAAAGCAACACACTTCCCCCCCCCCATGGCAAAGGTGGCAAACTGCTTTAGGATACAGAGACAAAAAGTTATAATTAGAGAGAGGGGGGAAAAAAACAAAATCAACTATTTACACTCAGCTGATTTCTTCATGGAAAGCAAATAGGTGAAAGTAAATGCACCATGAAAGCTAAGGAAAGTTGGGGATTGAACAATTATTTCATCAATTTGGACAGCTCTGATAAAGCATTCCAACCTGTTGGCATGACCTGGATTGGCTATTTATACTCATTGCTTTCAATTTTTTTCTTTTATTTTTGTGGGATGATATTAGCTAGAGTTGTTCAGCAAAAAGAAAACTGAACTCTAATGCTTCTTAAGTTTTCAATTAGATATCAGAAATGCTGGACCAGTTAAATATCTAGAGTATCACCACCAGGGAGAATCAGTACAAAGTCAAGTGCTGATAATTATCTGATGAACGTGAGCAGCAGAGATAACCAATCTGCATAATTTAAATTAAAAAAAAAAAGACTAATTGCCTGGGCAGATAATGTTAGTTTGTCTTTCTTTGCCCCTGATAAATTATCCAAAACACTTTGACAGGTATACTTGACAGCAAGGTGAAATTTTAAAAGTTTGTAGAAATGAAAATGTACACATTATTTGCAGATATAATTAAATCTAGGATTTTTCCATTACAATCACATCTATACCATGGTGAGGCAGATCTAAATCATAACTGCACATTAAATTGGGTAGTGATAAGCCAGCTTTGCTAGGAGTTAATGGAAGTCTCTCAGTGAAAGCAGATAAGAGAAGGACCAAAATTGATTCTCCATTATTTCAGGGAACTCTCGATTTTCTTCTCTAATCTTCAACTTAAAATTTCTGAACTCATTGCTCATCCCTCCACATGCATATTATGTGTCTATGCTTTGAATATTGGTCTCATATGTTTGCCTGTTTGTCTTAAAAAAAATCAAGGATATAATTTGTAGCTAGTGGAAGAAGTTCACTCTGCAAATTTTGCATTATGATGATAAATTGAGGTTTTGAGGAATGGAATACATCTTTTAAATAGTCTTAGTTTCTCACCTTGAAGGACTTTTTAAAAAATTGAATAATGTCAAAAGGGAAAATAATGAAATCTTCATTTTATCATATATGAAAATCTGAAGAATGTGTTATGAACTTCCTCATAACATCTTAGTATGCTTTATTATCTTTGCTACCACCACTACCACCTTTGTGGATACAGAATCAATCTTTCAATGACATTTTACTTAAGTGGTATTTCTATAGAGTATTTGATATTTAGTCTGTCTGTGATCCTTTGAAGCCCCACCCAAAATGGGGAAACAATGGCAAGTGAAACTTAAAAGTAGCTTAACTACAGAACCATTTTTTTAATGTTTCTTTAGCACTGATGTGTGAGTTCTAACATCATTCTCTTCTTAAATGTGAAAAAAAAGTTACCAGTCTACTAATCTTTTTTTTTTTGGATAATATTTCTATTCCCTGAACAGGTTGAAAAAAAATAGGAAAATCAGTGTAAAGAGGTAGGAAATTAAGAGGAGGAAGTGAGTCAGATACAGAGAAAGCAAGTACATGTTAATGCCTACCAATTTCCTCAATGAAAAGATAATCAGGAGTGTTGAGGATGAGAACTGGTAAAAATAAGAAAATAAGTAAAACTAAACCATAAAGAGAAAAATAAGAAGAGTATATAGCAGAGGAAAATAATTTTTAAAAAAAAGACTGGTTCCCAATACAGTAGGAAGTTTGATTGGAAAACAGGAAGCAAGGTATTTAAGTAAATATAAATGTCTATTTGATTCCATTTTCCAGTATTTCTTTAAACAGCATTGACATTTTTCCTGTTCCGCCATTGTTTTGGAGTATAAATAAGTTAGTTTACAGAATCATATATTTGCTTAGAAATTTTTTGTCTTACATTTAAAAATACTTTAAATCATTCAGGAAAAAAAGAAAGGGCTAACAGCACTTTGATTACCAATACTTTCATTTGGGATTTAGAGCAGGTGAGGAAACTGTTCTAGATTTTTTTTTTAATAAAAAATGATTAATCCAAGCTTCATTCCCTAATAAAGCAAAGCAATGCAATGATTATACACAATGCTGCTAAAATGACTGATTACTGGGGCAGCATCTTTTTTTTTAATACCATATTTGAATTAAGCCCAAATCAAATCATTCTGCATCAAACTGGCATATCAATTCATTCACTTCTTTTCCAATCAAAACTGAATTACCTGTCAAACAGAGAAGTAGACTTACAATGGGGAAACCATTTGAACATGTTATATTTTAATTTGCAGAGACAAAAATGACAAGCAATTTATTTACATAAAACTGTACAAAAGCAAATTAAATTATGTAAAATATTTCATAAATAGAGTTGGACTAGCATTTAATACATTTTGCATGTTTAGCATAGTTGCGTGCATAGTGACTCATAATAAACGATGATAAATTGTTCTCTGCTTCACTATCAACATCCAAGTTGCAGAACAATAGTCAATGATTAATATTACAAACAGAGCGTACCACACTGAATGCAAGTGCTTTAAAATTTAGGAAAAGTTGTCTGAAAGTGTACCCCAGGTAGGTGAAAAATGATGCCTTCTTCCAGATGTTTTATACCTTTGCCAGGGACACATCTGAAATGCTTCACTATTTCAAGTCCATTTTCTCTTCTCCTTTTTTAAGGACACACTGTATATTTATCACTGATACTATGTAAATAGAACTATTTTGTTCGGATTTCCCATGATTGTTTTAAGATAGCTGCCCATTTTAAGGCAGTTTCTTGGGGTGTCTGTTCATATGCTTGTGTGCATGTTTTTCCTACAGAACATATTCCTAGGGTAACCTTTCAGTCAGACATCTTCTATTCCATTTTAGTTCCTTCCCACATAAAAATAATGCCTCCCCTGTTTTTTTGAAACTCAGGCAGCAGGCCAGTCAGAAACTATATTGAATAAATATATTGTTACTGGAGATCCAGAATGAACATCAGATTTTCGATTGAAGTTACAGACGTTAATACATATATAAAGTTATATAATTATGCATCAATCTATAAATGTGTCCTAATGTAAAATACATGCAAAGCTCATTTGGGTTTCCTGTGTACAGAAAATAATTGATTTATATACTGTACAACCAAAATGGAATGACAGCTGAAAACAACAACAATAACAACAAAAAACTGAAATCATTTACTTTGTAGAATGGACTGAACACACATGGCAAATGCCAACTTGGGTTACTATTGCAATATATGCTATAGCCCCCTTCTGATATCTCTGGCACAGCCCATACCTATACCACAAGCTTGTTTTAATAATGAAAGATATTTAAGACTGGGCCATTATCTGAGTTTAGCAGAAGGCAAATTCTTTTTAATATATCATTTATCATTTCTCAGAAAATAAACATGGATAAATATACAGGTTCAAAAAAGTTGGGAATAGCCCATTACCCCTCAGTGTCCAAACCCAACCACCATGTTAACTGTAACGACAGGTAGAAAAGGCACAATTGCATATTTTGCATTCACTCTTTTCAATTTATTTTTTGTTTGTTTTTGTTTTTTTTAAAAAGCACTCTATATGTGGAGTGGCACCAGATTTAGCCTATTTAAAATTAAAAAAAAGTACAAACACAAAATATATTTCTGTGTCATGCCAGTTCATAATAGTAATAAACGTGTTATGATGGCTAGTTCTACTTGAATTGCTGTGAATACTTACAGTACACTTAATTTTATTCTTTCACACTCATTTTAGTTCTAAGGAGATTCTCACAAGTTAGATGACTTAATGACATGACCAATTTTGATATGGTGCAAACGTCAGTGAGTGCTGATCCAATTAATCTGAAGGTCCAATGTGACCTGTATTAGCTTTGTAGACAAAAGGGTTTAAAGACATATTGAAACAAGCTACCTAGTGGTTTTCAAGTGTCTCTTCCAAAAAAGAAAAATCCTATTGAAGCAACAACAAAATAATATTTTTGAACATCTGTGTTATGCAATTGAGTATTCTGTTGAAACGTGCAAGAAAAATATGTATACATTATTACATAAGTATCTTTAGAAGCATTTTTCTTAATAGGTACTTACAGATTATACAAGGCAGTACTGCTTTAATGCAGTTTCCTATCAAAGTACTAGAACTTCATCTTTCCATAATGTAAATAATAATCAAACATAAAAATGTTCAATTATTAATATTTTAGTCTTATTTTTCCCTCAAGTCCACATCCCCATTCATCATAACTACTATACACAAACTAACACTGAAACAAAAACCTTAATGCTGGAAAGAGCAAAATGGAATGGCCCTAAATACCCTCCCTCCCCTATTCCCTCCCCTTCCCCACGACCCAAAAGAGGAGAAGTAGTTTTCAGAGATAAGCATTGTGATGACTTGTACTGAACTATCAACTGTTATTCCAGGCTGCTTAACTTTATAGTCTAAGGAGTTCCACAAAGCAAGAAACTAGCCAAAACTACATTGTGACTACAATTTACTAGAGAGCCATGTGGCCTAGGCGTCCCTTTACACCAGCCTATAACCATTCAGAGATTTGAATGTTAGCTCTCTTCTCATGTTATTCCCCATTTTGCTGATTGTCAATTTCATTTGAATGTCCCAGCTCCATTTTAAACTGTCCTAAATCTTCATCTACAGAGCAGTTGGCTCAAATTCTGCACTCTGTTATTTTTATTGCACACAAAAACCTGTATCTGTTCTGACTTTCTTTAAGATGTGCATCCTGTAAGAAATGTCACAGCCCAGAGCTCATTTCTTTCATGTTCAGTTTGGAATGCTTTGTGACTTGTCTTGAGTTGCTATGTAAGTATCATATCAGTGCTAAAGTCAATCAGACTGTTTGTCACCTTCCTCAAATGCTATGAGTCTTGACATTCTATATTGCACAGGACTCAGGTTTAATGCACTTTTGTTTCAAAAATGTTGGCATTGTACCATTGGCCAAAGCAATTGATAATCTGTAATGTGATGTTAAGTCCAGTAAGCATACCCTGGATTGTGGGGGGAGAGGGGCTGGGGAGAAGATGACATTGGACTTAACTTGCAAGATGCTTATTTAAATGTATCATCATTCTTTACTTTTCTCCTCCCCCGACCCATTACCCATGATTTCTATGACTTTGAAAAATGTAATCTTCCCTGATAATATTACCCAGAACTGGCACAGGACCTGCATTGCCTCTTATCATGGTATCAGCAAATACACTGATAAGTTCCTTTTAAGGATTTCAACTAAAATTCATTTAAAAAATTGTTTTCTGGACTGACTTGGCTCTTATGCAAAATGAAATATGTTTGTATGTATGCATGTAGCTTTGTGTGTATGTGATGGAGTTCTAAGTCAAGACCAAAAATACTTTGTAATTCCCCTGATCCATGGTATGATCTTTGGCCTTTTAATGACTGAAATTGTCCCAGATAGGTGCTAATGTTGGTCTTGTCCAAAGAAAAGTTAAGTTCAACAGGTAATCCTTAGTATGATACATGTGATATTAATCTGTTTATGCAAACTGTAATTAATTATGCATATAGAGAGAACATCCTGTTTACGAATGGAATTGACCTCAGAGTTAATTATTTTATAGGGAAATATGCCACGTTTTGGACTGCAGTCTCAGGCTGAAAGTTATTTTTCTGTTACCAGCCTTGGGTGAGAAAATTAAAGCTGTGGTCTTCAGAAAGTGCTTAGTAATGGTTAGACCTTTCTAATAACTGCATCTAGAATTTGGGAGTTTTTAGGCAGATTGTTCAAACAAGGATCAATCATGTTCTGATAGTGTTATTTGGAGTATACTTTTTTTCTGACCTGTTATTCTCAACAAGTCAGATGACAATCAAACCAAATCAAAACAGTTAAGGTCATGCTTCAGCATTTGGGACAAAGACAGTGTGCAGTGTTCTGCTAATTGGGCTTATTACCATGAAAGAAACTTGCAACCATAAATTTAAGGGGGAAAATCAGTGAGGGGATTAGACATGCAAGTAACAACAATGGTTTCTACATTGTACATCATCGTCAGGCAGACAGTGTAATTAAGTGCCTGATTTGGAGGCAGAAGTGGCAGGCCAAGCTTCGTCTCTTTGGTAGCCTCCTCTTTTATTTTATTTTTTTGAGTTAAATTGTTTTGACTTTTGTTAAAGGTTTGCCCCTTTTTCTTTCTCATACATGAAAGAACCTTATTGTTGCTTCTGATAGCCTACAGGTAAACTTCTCTTCTAGTTAGAGTATTGACGGGAGATGGCTTGTATTCCCCTGTCTTTGTCAGGGGAATATCCTCTGGGTTGGCTTCCTCGTTTTTGCTGAAACTAGCTGCACTGAAGGTCTCATAGGATGAGGTCAACTTTTTGTTAAGGAGGTTTCTGTTGCGGTCACCCATGAGAGAGGCTTCTCCATTGGCCAGCTTTTCCTGGCTGCCTCGTTCATCAACGGGCATGAATGTAGAGAGTTTTGGCTGGCTTTTCTGCTTCCTTTCAGGTGAGGTGCGGACTGGCATCCAGCAGGAATCTGAGTGACCATATTCATCACACTCTCGGGTGCACTTCCCTGTCAGGGCTACATCTGGCAGAGGCCTTGAATCTGAAATCAGAGGAGAAAAAGCCTTTAAGAATGGATGTCACCTTTCAGCCCTTTTTCTACTGTTTCAAAATGAAGAAAAGTCATAAATTTCCTCCTACTGATCCCTTTTCTTGCCCCCCCCACAAGCATTTTCTACCCTACTACCCTAAACCAAAGATTTTTTTTTTGGCTACAGATTCTAATATATCACTATCTCTAAATAGTGACCTATAGAATCCCCAGCTGAAAAAAAATTAATATTATACGCATAATATACAAGTATAGGTTTTGCATTAACATTGCATGTTCTACTAAGGAATAATCAGGCAAAGTGTTCATTTCAAAATTATATGGCCACAGGTAATATGATATAGCAGTGTGGAGAGAACCACATATTGGATAATGACAGCTATTCAATATATTTCTGCATTCCCTTTTGCATAGAAAAACAATAACAAAATCTAAACAGAATAGAGAAATATGCTATAATTTGTAAAATTTATCCCAGAGAGAGAAAAAAGAACACATTTTTGCCAATCTTATCTTTTAATTCATAATGCTGAATACATGGAATGTGTGAAAATGCAAAGCCTTATATTTAAAAACTTTTCAATAAATCAGGGTGATTCATAAGTGGGATTTAAATGGATACCACTTCATGTAACCAGAATTATAAATGAAAATACAAATAAAAAATGGGCAAGAGCATAAAAACAGCTTTTTTTTTCCATTTTCAGATGATCTAATATGTACATGATGTAGGAAAAATCTCCCTGTGTGTTCACCTCAAAAAAATGGTTGCCAAAGTGTTTGCTAAATGAAAACTTATGTGAATGTGATGTGTTGTACAAATGCAGTCATGTTTCTAACCTTTTTGATGTTACAGCATGCATGTGTAATTAATTGAATAATTTGTTAAAGTTTGCTATTTTCACCATGATGAAATGAGCAACGAGTGCTAATTCTATATAAAGAATAATCAGCACTTTGTGCCTATGATGCTCTTTCCTACTTTTAAATACAGATGTAGGTGATTTAAATATTACTATATGTTTTTCTTGAGAAAAATGACTTCATGTTTTCTCAATGTTAATATTTAAATCTATTTTGTGCTGCTGCCTTTTTATGAGCTTACTATGCTGCAAAAGAGGAGGGAACACCTCTGTGTAGCATTTAATATTTTTATAGTTTAGTTTACAGCTAAACAAAAGAACATAATATGACTGAGCTCCATTTTATATCATATTGTATCATTTTATTATATGGCTTGGGGATTACATAATCTATACTTGGAGCCAAATTTTGATCCAAAAATATATTCACAAGGGTTGAAATCAATAATGTTTGCATATACATAACCTTTGGATGTCTAGTGCTGTTCTGTAAACTCTTCATGATAAATCTAGATCGTGCTCTATGCTGTTTTATCGGTAATGTATCATTATATGATTGTTTTGCTTTTCATTTCATTAAATTATTCTGTTTTGTCCATTGAAATTTCCTAAATTTAGCCACACCAGTCATCCCTATATATTTTTTTTTCTTCCTTTGTCATATATAATGGAAACATTGACATTTGTCAGCCCATCGATTCCTGAATCATTGTAGCCTGGGAATATTGAGAATTCACTGAAGAAATTCTTCTCTTCCTCATAAGAAACATTGTAGTGATTTTTCTCTCATTTCCCAAAGGTAAGATGGAAAGAGAATCATTTAGTACTGTCATATGTGCTACTATTTGATATTTAAACACGTAAATACTTTTAAGTTGTCCAAAAAATGACAAAGAATTTTCTAATTCCTAATTTTTTAAAAAATAAATTATCTTAAGTAATACTATTTTTGTATTTTTTAATATAGCAAGACTTACTGACAGTCATTTTAATCAACAAACTTAACTAATCTTTCATAAAATATTATATGAAATGCATGTATGAAATCTATGTTCTTTAAAAATAGATCTAGGAATCTGAAATTCTTTGTAAATTAGACACAAAATTTATACTCAGATAATTTTTCCCCTCTCTAATTTTCCCTTTACCTTCACCCCATTAAAAACTTTAAACTTTTTTCTTTCTTTACCAGTGTACTCATATTCTAGAAACTCTATGATCCTGTATTTTCAAATTGATTCTTTCTGTCAAATTCTCTGTTTTAATACCTTGCTCAAGTGAACCATAACTGTTGTACAGTCATTCCTTTAAGTTTATTAAAACTCATGCATTTAGTGTTAAATTCAGCTTATCATAGACTCAATTAGCTACACAGGAGACTAGTTTGTAGGGATTGATTTGTATTTTCAGTTTGGAATGCATTACACTATGTTTTTCTTTGTTATGCTATGCAATTAGGTATGGTTAGTAGAGTTATATTAATACACTGAAAACTCATCTTACATTTTGTTTAACTTATGCACCTAAACTACTTACTGCTCACAAGTAATTAAATATATTTCCATTGATTCAAGTTCCAAATTGAAAGAGTACTGAGATGCACTGACCTTCTTTTGTTTGGTCTTTTCATAACACAGCCTGGCCAGCTTCCAGTTGAGATTGATTTCTACTTTGCACATTTAACTAAAAGGGACTTTTCCTCAGAGCTGTCACCTATTGTGTGCCACATCTCTATCCAAGAGGCATGATTTTTAATAAAGAATAAAGAATCAAATCCTTGAGTAAGGGAACAACCTAGAAGCTGATAAGCCTAATTGTCTAAGATTGATTGTCTTTTTTAGTCATCAGATTCAGTAAATAATCAAGAAAGTCTGCAAAAGATTTACCACAAGCAATCACCTCTTCCAGACTTGGATGATTGTTCAGATAAAGAAATTATCAAAGTGTCGTCAACATGGTGGTAAACCTTTACAATATTCATGCCTATATTTAATATCTTGGAGAAATTTGTTCTGATATTGAACCTAAATCCATGTTACATTTACAAATATCATCTATTATTTGGTCCTCTTTTGAAATTGAAAACAGCTGATCACCTCTTCCCAAAGTGCTTTGTGAGGAGAACACCAAAAACACAGGAACTGTCAATTACAAAAAGCAACAGACGACTACTTACTTATTTCATAAGAAAAAGTGGTAGATTTCTTCCTCAATTATGATACTTTTCAATGAATGAAGACTATGTAGGACCTATAAAGTATTTGGTTATAGCATTATGTTTCCTTAAGACTAAAGTCATGTGATACGAGCTTATATTTGGTTACTTTTACAGTTTAACAATAATTAACTGAGTTCCCAATGGCATTAACATTTTAGAAACTTATTCTAAGATCACGATAGGGAAGAGGGCAATGAATGATGAAAATGATTAGTTCTGTGGCATTATAGAGACTGGTGTGAGTATTCAGAAAGCAAACGAGTGAGCTGTGTAACTATCTGATAGAGTTAGGAATATCCTTTTGTGTTAGTAATTAAAAAAAAAAACATACCCTAAAGTTTCTTGGCTGTTCAGCTTTGTCTGGAATGCACTCGTAGCATAACAGACAGCATCACCTTTTTATACATCATTAAACTGTCATTTACTGTTCTTTTTAAACTGGCCTTTGGTTTCAGTGGAGAGCTAGTTTATTCATTTCCTCTCTTAATGTATGTAAGCACTTTACCTGTCACTTATTAGCCTTTGAGAGTTGCCTAGGGCTACTGAGGGTTTTTTTCCCCCACTATTATACACACACACAAACACACACACACACACACACACACAACACACATACATATATATATATATATATATATATATATATATATATATATATATTTCCCCAGGGTCACAAAGTCAATATGTGCCAGAGATGAGAAGTAAACCCAGGCCTTCCAGACTATGAGACCAAGATATCACTCTCTTATGGCAAATTCCTTCAATTACTGAAAATTACTCTAAGAATAATAGCTGAGGGATAAAGCACATCTTAATACTATGTGATACTTCTTACATATATATGAAATATCACATATTTCACATATTATTTCAATACTTCAAGGACCCATGATTTCATCAGTGTATGTACTCCCCTCAACAATGAATATTGCCAAGCATCTGTATCTTAGTAAATTGTCTCTTAATAATGACCTAGTGGCCAGGCTCCTGACAATGGACTTCTCCAAACTTAACTAGGCTATTCTTAGACGATAGAAATTCCATCTTTCACAGGGTCTATACTTGAAACCCTTCAAGCATAACAGGACCTTTCAGAGATTATTTAACACTGGCATAGCCTTAAAGAAACCAGCATGATCCAAATACCTTTTGGAAGATTCACCCACATCCAAAACAAAACAAAACAAAATATTTTATGAACTATATACAAATCTTTCAAGATCGTGGTTCACTATCTCAGGTCCCAGGATTACAGAGTTGTAGGCAAACTCAGACTTCAGTTGATCTAGTCCAACTTGGATGTATCATGAGAATTTTTCTACAACCTCTTTGATAAATGGTCATCCAACCTTCACTTAAAGAACTCTAATAAGGGGGAGATATTATGTCCCAAGAACACCTTTACCACTTTGGGACAATTCTAATGCTTAGAAAATTCTCTCTTGTACTTGATCTGGCCTTTGGGTCAAACAGGATATGTCTAATCATTCTTACATAGCATAGCTCTTCAAATATTTAAAGACAATTTTCATGCTCTGGTACTCCAGAAACTCCTTCCCCACCACCACCACACACACACATACCCATTCCTTCAACTAATTCTTAAATGGAATAGTCTTGAATATCCTCACCATTTTGATTATAAAGTTTTCCTTCATCCTTACTCCAACCAGTTGCCATGTCCAGTTAATTATAGCTCTATAATGCTTCTTGCCTCTCATCCTTTTTCTCAATGTATAGTTACAATCATAATTTAGGTATTCTTCACCTACCACATGGACTATTGTCATTGTCCCCTCCCTTAACTGTGTTCCCTGTTTTCAGTCATTCCCTTATCAAATTTATCCTTCAGACAACAGCCAAAACATACTTTCTAATGTACAGATCTGATTTTGTCTTTCTAAGAGTTG